GTTAAATGACACCAAATTGTTCCACTTGGTGTACATTTCATTGGACCACCAAGTCTAATATTATCAAAAGCAAAAAAAAAAAAAATAATTTTTTTTATTTGAAAAAAAAAATTTTTACTTTGGACAAAGTAGACAAGCAGGTCGTCTTAAAATTGAACATGATTTACAAAGCCATGTACCATTAGGTACAACAGTTATTCCATAACAATTTTGATGTACACATGCATTACAACGTTCACAAAAAACCATTTCATTTCCATCATCAGCATCTGGTAATAAACATATATCACATACAATATCTTCATCTTCACATGATTTTTGTTTAAGATATGAACGAATTTTTTCAGCTGTATAATATTCTAAAATAATTATTGCATTTTCAAATTCTTCTTCAGTTATTATTCGTTCTTCTAGAAAAGAAAATAAGAAAAGAAAAAAATAAAGAAAAAAAAAAAAAAAAGTAACATACGATTAGTGTTTATATATTGATTTAATTCTTCAAGATATTGAAGATCATCATCATCCATATCATAATCAAGTTCATGCATTACTACTTTCATTATTAATGCAGTTGTATCACTAAAAATAAGAGTGTAAAAATAAAATTATTCAATTCTATACATTGATCATCGATATTATGGTACCAAATGTAAATTAAATGTTTTGCTCTTATAGTAAATGTTATAAAGAATTTATATAGTAAAAATTATTTCGAACAAAATTATGAAGAAATTAAATTTCTTAGTATATTCTCAAAAACCAGGATTTCTATAAAACCAAAAACTTTAGTTATCAATGTTCAGTGTCCAATGATAAAAGTTCGTTTGAACAATAGAGAATGATAGAGCAGAACATGCTCAGCAAAATTAAACATCTCCGATTTGAAGATGTTGAAGTTTTCAGATAATTTTTTTTACTGTTGCCAAATTGTTAAGGCTGCAGCCAACTCTCTTTAATTATGGTACAGATATTAATGAATAATACAATAGTCTAGAACGATTTGTTTTTGAAATCTCAATATTTTATTGGATTGTCAAATAAAAATCTACGGTCTCTCCGATAGCTTGAAAAATCAACTTTCGAGTTTTGTCTTCAAAATTTGCTTGAACAAAGTTCTTAATGAAATTAGTTGATTGTGCAAACTTTAGCTTTTTTTCATATTTTCTTTAGCTAAGAGAGATAGGTTTTTATACATGAGAGAATTTCGATTATTTAATATGTCAGAATAGAATACACTGAGTCGACTTTTTACATAATTTGAGAGGAACCACAGCTTTTAGTTACAAAGATCTAGGGAAATTTGGATATCTCAAGAGCGAAGGTTCAGAAAAACAAACTATTCTAGACTTTTCTATTACTCACATTCAAATAAATACCGTCTCAGTGGAAAAGTGAATTGAGATCAAGATCGATTCTCTCATGAGTTGCACCAAACTCACGGAAAGCTTAACGAACTTTTTTTCTTTTGTTACGACTTTTTGACTTTGCATAAACTTGGTAAAACTTAGGAAACACATGTTACACAGAGCTCAGAGATATCTCATTTTATTGGGAGTGCTCTGCTCTATAATTCTGCATTTTCAAAAAACAATTCATTCCGAAAGCTGAAAACTTTAGGATTTTGATTTTCTATAAATCGAAGATTCTAGCAATATATCGTTCTCATAACTTTATTAGTAACAATTTTCTCTATTAAGATAGTCATTTAAATTCTTTACAGCATCTGCTACAAGAGGAGAAAATTGAATTTATACTTGGTTAGATAATTTTAACAATCGCTGTATATATAAATATATAAGATTAGGTAAATATTGCAATTGTATGTCCCAGATTGAGTGAAGATAATTAATCGAATTTATTATATTATTGATAAGAGAAAAAAAAATACATCTCAAGAGTAATCAGCATATTTTTCCTAAGAAAATAAGAAAAATCCACAAGGAATCAAATTTATGTCATTTAATTTTTTCTTTTCGTGAAACTATCATTTGTACTGCACTTTTTACTATCGTGCATAACACAGATAGAATACTTTTATAATATAACAATTAATATTTATTTTCATGTAAAAAATATGCTAATTCGTACAAAAGGAATTTGATTAATTATTTGAATTTAGATATATTGTTACTCGTAATTATCTAATTTGTATCATGGAAAATTCTTTTCATAAACTATTAATGATGATTAATATCGTTTCAATCAAGTTCCATTAAGTTATACTGAAGGACATCATATATTTTTAGAATAATGATAATCTGCATTAGTCATGTTATGATATTGCTTATTCTTAATGCTAAAATATAATATGGCATGATATTTTTGTAGAATATCTCAAAAACAAAAGTAGCTAGAAACCTGCGGTTTTTATTATTCGAAATAAAAATGAAATTTTGCTAAATTAATTGGTTTATATATCGATTAAGCTAATGATTATTTACTTTAGATTTCGAAAATAAACTTTCGGCAAACTTATCTCAACTACATGGAAGCCTTGAAATCGAATCACCTCTCACTTTAAACTCTATCGAGTTTGTTATATTTTTTTAGATTGAATTCAATGGTGGTATTTGTTTTTAGTTTCAATATGATCGTAAATTATTAGATCATGATTTCTATTATAATGCAATGTATACAAAGCATTTAACATTAGATAGGATATTTTCATAATCTTAGTTTTTCAATGTCAGATTAAATTACTAAAACGAATTTGTTTTTACAATAGTCTTAGAAGATTTTTGGTACAGCAAGGTGTTTTTTTTTTTGTTTGTTTACAATATAGAAGAAAATAATTCTTCATTCTATGCAATATTTAAATCAATTATTTACTGAAACCAAGAATTTTATATGTCGTATTTATTCACTATTGTTTATAAAAATTGATTTCATCATTTACATACATTATTTCATCATTATGATCATTCATATTTAAATTTGATTTTTTTCGTTCTAATATATTTGATAATAATCGATAAGGTACTATTAATGATGATTCTTTTGTATTATTATTATTTGTTGATTGATTTACTGGTATTGTAAGTTTATACCATTCAGCTTGTCGATCAATTACTGTCCAATAAGATGATTTTGGATTTAATTTTGATGTTTTAAATACAAGTTTATCAAGATATAAAGGTGTAGAAGATTTTTCTTGTTGTTTATTATCATTTTCTTTTGTTGTTTCTAATGAACATTCATTTGTACAACCATTTTCTTTTAATATAGTTGTTGTTAATGAACTACTTCGCATTTGTGATTGAGCATTCTATTATAAAACAAAAAGAAAAAAAAAACATATTCAACATTCTTTTTTTTTTTCTTTTATCTTACTATTCTTCGTCGTTGTGATCGACGATTAGAAAGTGTTGTCGATGGAATTTCTATATGATTATTCATATGATTGCTATTACTATCATTTGATGATAATGGTGAATCAATTTGTTGGTTACTTGTGTCTGTCATTGGTATTGATTTTCTTTTCTAAATACAAAAAAAAAATTTTATATAAATACAAAGAAGTAAAAATGAAAACCTTTGTTTCGATTGTAGGTTTCAATATATAGACATCTAAAGACATCAGAAATAAGACTAATCAATTAATATTCATATACAGACACATGATTTAAATAGAAAAAGAAAATCTACAAAGAAAAAAAAAGGATGTGGACGATTTGTATTCGCATATATTGTAAGAGAAAAAAAAATAGTTTATATTCTGTAAGAGAAAATTACAGAAGTATGAAAAATACGAAGTGAAAAACAGTGTGTTACGTACCATGATCAATCGTATCAAGTTAGAAATGATTGTCTTAGTGTACACAAGAAAGAAATTCATATGCATATATAATCATATAAGTTAGAGTTACATGCTCTTTTTATTCTTTCTTCTACCCTAAAAAGATCATAGAAGGCAGTCATTGTGTACGGTAATTACTTTTTTAAAGAAAAATTTCATTGAATTTAGTAATAGATCAATGAATTTGATCGTAACAATGAAAACAAGATCGTTATAGTCTTAAAAAAAATCAGTTTATCATTGAGAAACGTTTTATTCCATATGCATTTAAATCTAAGGAAATTTTCACATGATCTCTTTCCAGTTGTTGTGCAATTTATTATACTAATACAACATAGATAATATATTATTCATGTCAAAGAATTCTTCATTCCATTGATTTAGCTTCTGTATATATTTATTGAATATTACGGCATAGATCAATCAATACTCATTGATTTCTTTCTTTGAAACAAGTTAAAATTTCTTAGTTCGTCAAATGATTGTATGCTAATTATAATATATCGATATTCAATTGACTTTCAGCATTTATCTTGTTTCCTGCGCACATTAAATAATTTTTTATTTTATATTTGAGATCCATGAAATATTTTAGAAGGTTTTTCTCCAGAATTTTCTTTGTAGGAAAACAGAGTTAGGTACTTCAACCCAACTTATAAGATCCAATAAAAAGCCATAGTCTTCCCATGTTGCAGGTTAGTTGGCTCCACTGGTAATAGATTATCGACCAGAGAACAACTACTAGTATAGCAAATGTTAAACTGATAGTTTTTGTCGACTGTCAATCACATGGGTTCTTGTATGGAAATTCACGTTTCGTCTTTGAATTAAAACAGGTGTTTTTTAATACTTAGTGCCAGAGGCACACTTTTTTTTATTAGAAACAATAGTCTTTTGTATTCAACAGCTGGACTATATGTGCTAAATCTGAAGAAATCCGTTGGATTTCAATAAAAAAAAGCTTTTTTGGAAAATCCGTGATCTCCTATTGCATCTTGTGAATTATCTTCTATTCTGAATCGCGAGAAGTAAAAAGACTTTCGAAAATCTCAACTGATATTACTACTAAATTTTCTTCCTTGATTAAGTACAAAAAAAAAAAAGAGAAGTTCTTTAACAATAATCATGCATTGACTTTTTTTATTCAGTTTTTTTTGTGCTTATACTGTTTTATAACAATAACAAATATACAAAACAACAACATTTAATAAACAACATCATAATCAAGATAATCATTATCAAAATAATGTATCCGTACAAGATCATCTTCATCTCCACTAGCATAACTAAAATTAAATATTAATATAAAAAATAAAATTGAAACATTTATATATATATGTTTAATATACCTTTTTCCATCGAGATGTATATCAATGTTATTGATAGGTCCAAAGTGACCCTTTACTCGAGCAAATTTTTCTTCAAATGTTAAATAAAAAAAATCGAGCTTCGAATTTCCCTGTTTGAACTGCAGTTTGTGTGACCTAAATAATAATTCAAAATAATAAAAAATAAGCAATGTTTGAAATATTATCAAAAACAAATACTTCAATAGCTTCTTGACCACCACCAAGTAATACATGATCTTTAAGTGGTGAGCTTGCCGCAGAATTAATCAGACGTTCAGTTTTATATGTTTTCAAATGTTTCAATATCTAACAACTAGAAACAAAAAAAACAATTTTTTTTTAATGTGAAAATTGAGTGTAAGTTTTTCGATCATTTCTGCTTATAAAAAAGAAATATATGTAGACTTGTAGAGACAGATCTCTACTATTTAATAGTGTACGAATAGATATTCTTTGTGATCGAATTAATTTCTAGGAATTTAAAGCATGATTTTATTTTTTTCTCATTATGTTGACGATTAACTGAAAGTCGAATGACATTAATGTTTTTGCACGGAACTTTTTACTAATTAAAGTTTGCATTGGTTGAGTTGAAATAACAAGATGATACTTAAAAAACTAAATTTTTAAGTATTATCTAATGATATAAACCAAATAATTAATATTTTGACATTCAGAGACTCCAAAGGTATGTAATTGTTTTACGTCGTATTAATATCTACCTTTTTGTTCGATGATAACGAGATTCTAATGTCTCCTAATTAAAAGGAAAGCATTTGATATATAAATAGACTATTCATTAGTGAAGTAATAAGTTTGATTGAATGTAATGCTCTTCGCCGAAAACAAGATCGTCGAAATTTGACATCGCCGACACGACGTGAAAACGCACCGTAAATTTCCACGTCGACTTGGCGATGTGAGTTTTTGACGAAGAGCATACTTACCTATATTTTTATTCCACACGTTCTTATTCAGTTATTCAGCATCAACACTAAAATAACAATTTAGACAATCGAAATAGAAAAGATGGTCACGTCTTAAAGATTCTAGTCAAAAATTAATCAAAGGTTAACATTTAAAAATATATTAACGAATGATAATGAATTGTAAAATAGTTTTGTATCTCAGTACTGCATAACTGTTTTATTATGTTTTAGTCGAATTGAAGGAATCATAATGGTTTTGGTTCACTTCTCTAGACCTAGTAGAACCTAATAACACGTACATTATCAAATAGATGAAGTCTTTTTCAACAAGCCTACATATATCCTGTTCTATAGTCAGAACTTTTAATTTTTCATAAAATGATTTTACTTTAGCTGTGCGATCTTTTGATGATGAAATTAGAAACGTCAAATCGTTATTTGTTTGTAAATCCATTATTTGTCCTTGATGTGGTTTTTCTCTGCGTACATCATTTATAACCTAAAACAATTGATTATTATCAAAAAAAACAATAGACAATAAATTACATTCTACTTTAATATCCTATTAAACAATTTCAATATTATCATGACCAGTTACAATAAATTCATCCAAGTATCCCATAAACTACTTGTTACTTTTCATAGTCCTTTTTTGTATTATATTTATACGAACTGATAAACCTTTATTGGCTATCAAAAAAAAAGCACACTTCAATCAATTATTTACTAAAACAAAAACAACATACCTCGCATTCTAATATCTATTAAATACATTTCACATAGTTTATCCATAAAATCATCATTGGTATATAAAATTATATTGCCATGATAACTAAATGTACAACAACGATATGGTGCATTAAGCTGATAAAGATTTCATTTGTTTGAAAATCCTAAACACGAACACTACTACCACCAGATACCGATACATATGCTGTTGAATCCCAATTAACATCTATAGACCATACAGATGGAACTGTATCTTTACCAGCTGAAAATAAAAGATCACTTTCACGATTATAATAAACTTTAGTTAAGGAACGTTTATGTGCTTGAAGAAGAATTGGTTTCTAATAAAAATAACAATCATAAAATAAGGAAACATAAATATATATGTTTTTCTTTTTTAGCTTTACCATTTAAATTATTTGAGATTTAAAAAAAAGGTTATTAATCTAAAGTATTATTATACAGGTTATGCCAATGAAAATTTTTATTATTGAAAGAGATGAATTTATTTATTGACTAGTCTTTATTTTCTAAATGTAGAACATTATAATATTAGAAATGGAAAGGAACAATAAGGATTGAAATACACTCTAGGGGAGTAATATTATAAAAACAAACATGACTATTGAACAAACTGATCAATTACAAGCCATACGTCATCATTACACAACTGTATATTGTATATATATGTATATCTATACTATATGAATTGCTTTGGAATTTACTCATGTTTTACGTTCTATTTTTTTTTTCTATTTCTAAAATAGAATAAAATAAGAAGAAATAAAATATAAATGGATCTACTACAGGATCATGGTAAGCTATCTAAACGCTGCAATGAATATTTGTCTATATTGTTTATTTTGCTGTTGGTGTCCATTTTCTATATTTATTAATAAAATTAATTAAACCATTTGTTGATGAATCATGAGCCGTAACAGGTTGAGTTGCATCTAATTCTGGTAAAATAACTTTGGCTAATTGTTTACCAAGTTCAACACCAAATTGATCATAAGAATTAATATTCCATATTTGTCCTTGAACAAATATTTTATGTTCATATGCAGCAGTTAACATACCCAATGTAAATGGTGTTAAACGTGGTAAAACAAATGAATTTGTTGGTCGATTTCCACGAAATGTTTTATGATAAATAAGAAGTTCATCACTATTATTCGAACTTTTTCGAACTTCTTCTTCAGTTAAACCACGCATTAATGCTTCAGTTTGAGCAAGAAAATTAGCCAATAATATTTTATGATGAAGACTGTCACGTATTGGATTATGAGTTTCAACTGGAGCAATAAAATCACAAGGTATTAATTTTGTACCTTGATGAATTAATTGATAAAATGCATGTTGACCATTGGTGCCAGGCTAAAAGAAGAAAAAACAAATCAATCTTTAGTATTTTATTAAACATAAATAGTATTATTGATAGATTCAACTTTTAGCGATCAAATTTGTTCATATAATAATAAAGAACACACGATGAAAAATTAGTGTAAACGAAAATGCTCGATAAGCTATCTGAAATACATATGGAATTAAGTTATTCGATTTCGGTCGTAATTAGAGATGTGCCGGACCAGCTTTCGTCTCGGTCCTAGCCACTGAAGCAAAACTGATACCTGGCCTAAGACCAGAAGCAATCGAGCTTATCGAAACCTATATCGAGACTATGAGAAAACGATTATTCTCTCGGAACTAAAGTTTATAGTTAAATATTCTATGATTTTAAGCAAATTATTGTATCAATTAGAACATAATTGAAGAGAGATGATCAAAAAACAAGTGCTAGCCGTTCACTTAATAAATCAAAAGGCGAATGTTTTTTAATGTGATGCGAAGAAATTGTGCAACAGTTTTCTTTAGATCGGCACCCAAATAAATTTGGACCGACACACCTCCATTCATATTATATATCAGAGCTGCCAACAGGCTGCTTTCACCAATCTAGTCTACAGGGTTAAATAGGCCGATCGATGTGTCTGATTTTTCGAATATATTAAATTTTATCCGTTTGAATTAATTTATAATGTTAGTTTCAGTTGTTCATTTAATTTATTTCCATAAATGTAAGATAATAAGAAGCTCTTGGATGAAATAACAAATAAAGTCCCTTCCACTTCCTTCACACAAAATCATTGCCCAAAAACCGTCTTTTATGATGGTGTTATAGGTCTAGTTCGGTAAATCGTTGTTTCTCACACTTTATCTTACCAAAACTCTTGAGATTTGAATCATTTAAGACCAAACTCGAATTCAAATACAAATTTAAAGGCTTGGAGTGTGTTGCATCCCTAATTTCTCATAATCGAAAATGTGTAATCCTTATATCAAAAACAACTTATGATCAAACATTCAACGAAGAGATCACACTAGACAGTTCCAATCTTTACGATTTGAATGAAAAAAAATAAAATGCTTTCCTTCTAATGCTGATAATAATATCAATTTAATTAACTTACTTCACCCCAAATAATTGGACCAGTTGTATAATCAACTTGTTTTCCGTCTTTTGTACGATATTTTCCATTACTTTCCATATCACCTTGTTGAAAATAAGCAGAAAATCTATGCATATATTGATCATATGGTAAAATAGCATGAGTTTCAGCACCAAAAAAATTATTATACCATATACCAAGTACAGCCATCATAACAGGTAAATTTTTTTCTAATGGCATCTCTTGAAAATGTTTATCCATAGCATGTGCACCAGCTAATAATTGTTGAAAATTTTCAAAACCAATAGCACATACAATGGAAAGACCAATAGCTGACCATAGAGAATAACGACCACCAACCCAATCCCAAAATTCAAACATATTTTCTTTTGCAATACCAAATTCAGTTACTTTTTGTGTATTTGTTGATAAAGCAACAAAATGTTTTGCAACATGTTGTTGATCTTTAGCTTGATTAAGAAACCATTCTTTAGCTGATTCAGCATTTGTTATTGTTTCTTGTGTTGTAAATGTTTTTGATGCTATTATAAATAATGTTGTTTCTGGTGATAATTTTGATACAGTTTCACTTATATGTGTACCATCAATATTAGAAATAAAATGAACACGTGGACCAGTTTTTGCATATGGCTATAAAAAAAAAACGAAAACAAAGAAGATACTATAGGATTGACTAAGAAAAATATTTCTCTTTAGGAAGTGTTTTATGGTGAAAGAAATAATGGTTTAATATTAAATTTATTCTTAACGAAATGAAGATTATCGAATTACATATATGAGTCATTTCTGTCAGAACAGAATATACCTACGCTTCATTTGACTCTGGTTCTTTACAAGAGTTATTTTGCTGAACAAATTCTTTTAGTATAGATCTATGTAAAAATCTTGGCTATTTCAGCTAACTATTAACTAAACAGTAATTAACAAATATCTCTCCAGCTATAGAAGAAAAGATTTCGTAAAATTTATGATAGACTTTAGAGCACGAACAGTTTCTATGGCGAAATATTCAGCAAGATCCAACTTCAAAAGACACAATGTGTTTTCATTTCTCGAATGTACATATACCAAGAAAAATATTCGTTTTATGTTCTTAACTTACTTTCAATGCTTCAGTAACCATTAATGGACCAAGATCAGATCCACCAATACCAATATTAACAACATCTGTAATAGATTTTCCTGTATAACCTTTCCATTGTCCATTACGAATTGATTCAGAAAATGTTTTCATTTGTTCTAAAACTCGATGAACATCAGGTAAAACATTTTTTCCATCAACTAAAACTTGTTTTCCATCTTTAGGTGTACGTAATACTGTATGTAAAACAGCACGTTTTTCTGTAAAATTAATTATATCACCATTAAACATTTTTGTTCGTTGTTCTTCAATATTACATTCTCGACATAATGCAAATAATTCATGTAAAATATCATCATTAATTAAATTTTTTGAATAATCAAATAAAAATGGTCCATCCGATGTATTAATTTCTAATGTATAACGTTGAAAACGTTTTTCATCTTCAGAAAATAATTGTCGAAGATTAAGATTAATTCCAACAGTATCATAAAGTTTTTTTAAATTTTTCCATGCATTTGTTTGTACTAAACCTGACATTTTTTGTTTCTCTTCTTATTTATCTACAATAATCAGCAATCAATTTTTTGATAAGATTAATTAAATTTTCTTTTTTTTTTTTTTTTTCTTTTTAAACAATTCATATTTATTTTCAAATACAAACAAATGAGATTAATGGTCGAAAATATATCTGACCAAAAAGAAAAACGAAAAAAAAACACATTACAGAAAGAGACAGAGGGAAAGAAAGAATATAAAACAAAGATTTGTCCTTTTGTTTTTTTTTTTCGACTTATCTGACAAGACTTATTTTTGCGACTTTACATGCGGTTTCAATAAGGACATTTATTTTCTCACTATTATAGTTATGATCATATAAATTAAGTGTTGAATGTAACCAACGAGAATGTTCATCTGTAAGATGATTATCGGTCGATGTAAATATTGTATGTATCAGTGATAAAGTAAACTGAAATAATGATGATGATTGACTTTGTAAATGTGTAACAAGTTGTTTTGATGGTGGAATCCATTTAATACCTGTTGTTGTTGTTGTTGTTGTTGTATTAACATTATTACTTGCTTGAGAACAAGATGAACGGAGACGTTTTGCTATATGTGGTTGATCATTTTCATCAATTGAACGTTTATCACTTGTAGATGGTATTATTGAATTTGTGGAAGGAGTAGGTTCGGATGATGTCGAAGGCGGATGAACATTCTCTGTATTATCCATCGTTCCATTTAGGTTTGCTGATAATTGAACTGAAGGAAAAACAACATAAAAATCCCAAGTGAATGGTATACAGGCGACGATAGGAATGTAACGAGATCGTTATTCAAGTGAGACTTTTGGGACCTGGTTGTCTCTGTCAGTCTCGTTGGAAGAACTGCAACAATAGTAATTTTCACCGAGACCGATACCAAAGCTGAGATTAACCGAGAGGCTTGGTCTCGATATATCGCTAGCCGAAGAATAGTAAAAATTTGAAGATAGGAATCCAATGTATGGATTTATCTGGAATCGAACAAAAGACGTCTCTTGACTAGAGATGAGCGGGATTATATTTTAGTCTTGGGCCTGCTGACTGGAACCATGGAAAAGGAAAGTTACCGAAATCTGGACTACGAGAAAACAGTTGTCAAAATCACAACGAAAGATTCTAGTGAAATATTGTATCCCAATGAATACATGAAAAAAAACGCAAAATGAACAATTACTAATTAATAATAGACAGATGTAGAATGAAGGTAGAACGTACATAAATGCGCATAAGGAAAATTTTTTATGCATTTTATGATGAATGAAAGTAAGTTTTAATGTGATTATTAGGTTAATAACTATAAGTTATTCTGT